GCACCTCTCTGGGGGCCAGGGGAAAGACTGCGAGTGTCAACAACGGCGACAGGGTATGGTGGAAAGATGTGCGGTACCGGTAAGGGCATATGGGAAACTTTTGTGTTGGTTCTCAACGGCCAACCAGTACGGGCGTACTGGAAATTTGGGACAGGCACCGGTAGGGGCATATGAAACATGTTTCAGGCCCAAACGACGCCAATGGTTTTCTGGAAACATCATTTGTTGTCAGATGGGTAGGACAGGGTAAGTTGGCTGTCAGAGGGGCATGCCGCAAATTGATCGAAGCTTAAGGGGCATTTCCAAAACTCTCCTTTAAAAAAAATAAAAATATTAAAAAAAATAAAATAATAAAAAAAATAAAATGGAACGATAGGGAGATTTTTTTTTTTTTGTTTAACACGTTCAACTCATATTAAAAACAAACCATTGGATCAAGGCCGAGGACCTCACAATTCTACCCGGAGTTATTCTGGCAACATTAGCCAATTTCGCTTATGTTCTAAAATTCCTCCAAGACTCCTCTTGCCCAAACACAATCCATCTGTACTTAACTTCCAAACTTTTAAACTGGTCTCTGTATGTCTTCTTCTCCCGTTCTTCTGCTACACAGGATTCGACTTTCTCTTATTCCTTAACTACTTCTAGCCTAACTCTAGCCTACCTCTAATTCACAGGCCTACTACCCCGGCCTGACACAGGCCTTATTCGGCCAGTGGGAACCTGAGTTCCAAGCATCTGTGAAACTCTCCTCCCTCCTACTTAATGGCCTCCTGTGGCCTAAGTCATTGAACCGAGTGTCCTCGTTCGGGGTCTTGATCTATTCTACCTGTTCCCCGGGCTACTATCCTCCTGTAGCCAGTGTGAGATGGTCAGGCCCCTGGTAGGATTCACTTTTGCAAGTTTGTTTTCCCTTGCCCACGTGCTCAAGAACCACCTACTCTGTCGGGGGCTTCCTCTCCTTGACTTCATCTTTCTTCTCCAGTCCACCTTGATTGCTTGCTTGATCCCAACTTTTATCTTTGCCTTGGTTTCCAGGTCCGACATCGGTTTGTTGTGGAATCTTGCTCGGTTCCTGTCTGCCCATATCACTTCACATATCACTCATCTGATCACGTGTGCCATATACCCCATCCCACTTTCCCAGATTTGTTCGCTGGCAGGAATCCCAGAAAGGACCCATTTCTCATCCCATCTTACCCCTATCTGCAGCTAATGGTATGTGACGAACCAGCTTCTGAGCCTGCACCATCTTTTAGACCCTTTCTCACACTTTTTTCTTTTTCTTTACTCGGCCCAATAAGGCCCCTCTCTATTTTTGATTCAAGATGCCCCGTGTCGATTCTTGAAATTTTGTTTTCATAATTTCGAAAATGCATGGGAATTGTGCGCGCTTTAGTAAGCGCGCTAGGAATTTGGGTCGGCAGTTAGAAATTCTGAAATAAACGGAACCCGACGTGTCCTTTTTGTGTATAAATGTTCTCGACCACGTCGTGGAAAACTCTAGGAATTTGGTGGGAATACGAATGGATGTAGGACTGTTTTCCCGCGCCTGCTTTACGTGCGGATATGGTGATTTCAATTTTTGAATTAGCATAGGATTTAGAAATCTGTAACTGTTTTGGTTCCTCTTTTTGCGCTTGTGATTGGCGCCATGCAAGCGAGCTTCCCCGTTGTTTGCTCCCTTCGTCATCTTCGATGCATCACTCTGTAACCGTTTTTCCCTCTCTCTCTTTCTTTCTCGCTCCCCGTGCGCCTTTTCTCTTTCTTGATCATCTGAATCTTGGATCCGTTTTGCGCTATCCTGCGCATCCTTCTTCCTTTCACTCGGAGTCCTACACCCAAGAGCCCGGTCGATCCTTTCCTCACCCCGTCCAGCTAAGGAGAAGCGTCGTGTAAGGGGAAACTCCTATTACGGGATGACTCTGATTGGTGTTGATCGGACTCCGAGTCAGCAGGATCGACATGACTCTCGCCGGGCAATTACCCCCAAGCCCTCCCTCACCCTTCCCCGACTCAACCTTCCTCCTCCCTTGCACCTACCTCCCTCCCCGCTACTATAAATTCCGCAAGCGCGTCCGCAAATCTCTCTCTCAACTCGTCTGCCAGCTTTCGGGAAGCAGCGGCTAGATGATATGTGTAGGTTGCGAGTCGAAAAGTCCCGACGAGTTGACTGTAGCCTGGCGAACGGTCGGCCTGATCGCCACAACGGACTGTGGGATCGGGGCAGGCCGTGTCGAGACTGAGTCGGCGGGGTGACGACCGCAGTGGTGGAAGGTGGCACGTGACGACTGGGATCATCAGTGCATGCATGGGACAGTGATCGGAGTTGATGAATGGCCCAGGGCCATAGTGGAAATTCACGGCGGATGCGCCTCCTTGTCTTGAATCTATTCCTTGGTGTGAGTGCAGCTCAACGGCAGTTAAGCTGGAAATTTTTTCTCATCTTTGGATCTTTGTGTGATCTCCATCTATCTTGTTGTTCTCGTCTATTTTCGCACGTCTTCTCCCCTCCTACTTTATGACATGAATAACTATGTATGCTTGTCATGTAATGGTTGTCTGATGAGTTTGCGTTTGATCGGCCATGGGATGATGGGGCAGATGCATGAATGCCATTTTCGCCCCTTCCGCGATAAAGGATTGCAAGTATAAATGGAAATACTCGGATGATGAGAGTGTCGTTTGATGAACTGGTCTTTGATTAGGCCGAAGAGTTATTGCGAATGGAATGCATGAACATGGTTGAGTTGTTGGCAGAAACAATATTGTTGGGATTTTGTTCGAGAGTGCAAGAGTGTTTAGATCCGTCGGTGATGTGATTGCGCGAGAAGTACCCCGGAGTTTTTTTAACCCGGAATACACTGCGCATGCCATCTGCCTTATGCTGCACGACATCTGCATCCTGCCCTCGATACGGAAAACCCGAGAGGTAGTCTATCTTCTTAAGGAAAGAAAAAAGGCGCCACGTGCGACCTGCACACATGTATCAATTACCGCGTCTCATCCAACATGGGTTCTGTCCCCACGACTTCCCTATGAAAACTTCCTGACGAGACCATTAGTCTAAGATCATCGAGAATGCTCTCTCTCTCTCTCTCTCTCTCTCTCTCTCTCTCTCTCTCTCTCTCTCTCTCTCTCTCTCTCTCTCTCTCTCTCTCTCTGAACTATCTTTGAGGAAATAGAGGAGCGTTCTCACTTTGCGTCGTATGACCAAGGTGAATAAAGGCTATTGCCCGAAAACCCGATCAATAGGTTGTGTATTTTCGATCATCACGATTGTCGGATTAATGAACAGCCCTTGCGACTGATTGAACTGCCATATGGACTGACGGCCTCAACCCGACGGGGCGTTGGCTTCCCGTATCCCCGCCACGTCCCTTCCTGTACAAGGAGAAAATGACACGTGTATGCGAGTGGGACGTACGAGAAGCCGTCGCTAAGATCGGCGGCCGATACTATTTCCCTCCCGAAACTTGGTGCTTAGGGTTTGTTGGTGCTGGCTTTGTCATTATTGATACGCATTTTCCGCCTTATTCGCTGCTATTGTCGTTTAATGAGTTGATCGTCATTCCGTGGACGGCAGTGGCGCCCCATTGGCCTAACACTCTGTGCAGCGATTGCTGTCGCTTCGAGCGTTACCAATCAAAAGGCTTTCATTACCGAGTACGGAGTGAGGACGAACATAAGGAAAGAGCCACGCGGCTGAGACCCTCCACGTCGGATTCCGAGCTATGCAATGAGCGGCGTCAGGATCTGATCCGAAAACGGGACACTAAGCACGTACCCGCCCCCTTTCACGCGAAACGAAGAGCAACAGCCCCACGGGAAGTTCAACGATACTTTTTGGATTGAACTTCCCCAACGTCGTGTGTCCCGCGCACGCCTTTTTCTCCTTTAAAACCCGCGCCATGACGGACCCTACCCCTTCTTACTAAGTCGGACCGGCACAAGGGATTTCGGTTCTGCCCGTATCCCCACACTCAACTTTCCAAAAATCCTTGGCACACCCCATCTCGCTGTCTTTTTGGGGCCCCTTCCGCAACTTAAACACTCCGAACGAAAGACAGTGCAGGGCGTGAGTTTGAGCGTCACATATTCCCACCACCTCCAGATTCTTTTGGTGGTTGGGTATTCCCACCATAAGTGTCTGGTCGACTCAAATGGCCAGCGGCATCTGTTGCATTCCAGCTTCACTTGCATACCCTTACTCAGAAGCCAGACTGATGATGGCTTCACTAGCAGTCATAGTAACCACAATAGGCTAACTAGCAGTGATAGTAACCACAATAGGCTAACTTGTTTGCCATTTGGGAGAATCTTGAGTGTACTCCACAGTTTTATGAACTGCTGTTCTGATACTTCCACCTCTTCCCCCAACACCCTCTTCAATCTTGCTGTTGCAACTGCACTTGGCTTCCTCCTTCTACAGTCTGCTGCATTGTATCCATCTTTTCCACCTTGTGGAATCCGCTAGGGAGGATCTCCAAAACTTTCCATACCACATTTGGTTGGTTCTCTTCTGCGGCCACGTACCAGGTTCCTGGTGGGTCGAGGCCTTCTGGTCCCATAAGGTGTATCCATTCCTCTGGTAAGGTTCGCAGCAGGTGTTTCCAATTCTCCTCCACATGGTGTAGTCCTGCAAGTTTCGCCTTGACTTCAGCGATGCGTCTCCACCCTCCTAGCTCCACCGACCAGAAGTCCCTGATTCGTACTATTCCTCTGCGTACCCATGCCAACCCGAATGATGCCGTGGTTCCATTTGCTGCAAACGGAGTCCCGTCTTCCTTCTTGATACACAGAAGATTAGCATGGTCCCAAGGGCCTCTTTTCCCAAGGGCCTCTTTTCAGATTTCAAAAACTCTTTCTACTTCAAGTACCTCAGCTGCCGGAAAAACTTGAGTGCAAGGTTTTCAATTTGGATGAATTTGGGCGCTCCGGTCCAAGCCCGTTCATCGGAGATCGTCAGGGAGCATTACCCACAGCCACTGTCGGAGGCGGGCCGAAGCACGGCTGATCGCCATCACTCCGGCAGTGGGTAATGCAATCTTATGAGCTATACCCGCTCTGTAGGTGGAGCCTGGAGCGCGAAGCACGGCTGATGTGGCTCTGACTACTTCAACATACATCACCATGAGTAGTGAGGGATGGGAGCGTCATCACGGCGGCGATACTCACGTGGCCGACACAGCCCCACCGTTGTGGAAGGAATAGCGAAGGAATAGCGCTTTGGTCCGACGCGCGGTTCCGGTAGGCCCCCCCAATCTCGAATAGGGGCCGTGGGCAGTCTGACGGGGGGTCAGAGCAAGAAAGTAACAAATATCAAATTCAGGCCTTAGCGTCCGACCGGTCTACTCCCTGGATCAGGACACCATGGACCTACCCCTCGGGCGGTACCACAGGGTCTATAGAGGGCCTGCGAGGCAATCCAAGCCGTCGGCCGGGTACTACTGAACCGACGGCCATGATGGACGTAGAATAGATCCAGCGGCACCTATAGGTCCTAACCCCGTGTGGGCGTGGGCTCGAGCTCGCGGTGGTGCATGCAAGCGTGGGTGCTGTAGTGTGCGTTCGTGCGTCCGTGTGTGTGCGCGTCTGCTTGCGGGTGGGTGTGCGTGGGGGTGTGGGCGGGGTGGGGGTGCTGTGGCTGCCACACACACACACACACAGACAGACAGACATACACACACACAGAGACAGAGACACACACACACACACACACACACACACACACACACACACAGAGAGAGAGAGAGAGAGAGAGAGAGAGAGAGAGAGAGAGAGAGAGAGGACCGCGGGGAAACATGAGCAGTGTGCTGCTTTAGATTGATGTCGGAAGCCGCAAAGAGTCGAACCTTCCGTTTTTGGTCGAAGGAGCGGTGAACAGCTCCGCGCGAAAGAGGTACGCCGCGATCTCATCCTTTCTCCTCCTCTTCCTCCTCCCTCTTCTGCCCTCGACTCTCCATCTTTTGACACCCTGTCGCAATATATTCGCCTGCACTTGCTTTACCCATCTCTCTTCTCCATGGCGACCTAAGCCCCGGCTTCTTCAGCTTCCGTCATTGGAGACTCCCTCCCCGCTCTGCTTAAGTGCCATTTCTTTCGATCTCTCTCAATAACATCGTTGGTTGAGTCCAGACGACCAGATTATGCCAAGGTTTGCTGATTTGTGTTTGTCACACACACACACACACACACACACACACACACACACACACA